GATTATGATGGACCAGCATTAATCGAAGGTTCAGATGATGAATTAGGTACAGAATTCATCGATATGGAAATGGATGAACTTAATCTTCATCCATGTATGGTACCCATGGTATGTTTATTAAAACATATGGAAAATAGTGGAATAATACCTTTATTAAATGAAAATTCATCTCAAACATCTGATATGCCAGCATGGATGATATGTATGTATAAAAAATTTAGTGATCCATTATTATCATTTAATATAAAATTATTTCTCATGCGTCTTATTATTCATACACATACAATTTTTAAACCTTACGCACGTTATTGGTTGACACCAATAATTCATATGTGTAATCAAATGTTTGAAAATTCTTCTGAAGGTTTAAATACATTTATTATTGATACAATTGTTATATTACTATCATGGCATACAAAAGCTATACCAAGTGAACTTGATTCAACAGCTGTACAACGTCTTATTGAATATTTATTTGCAAATTGTTCACATCGTAATACAATTGTTATGAAATCAAATTTAGATTTAATTAAAAAATTAGTTGAATGTTGGAAAGAACGTATACATGCTCCAACATTAATTCTATATAAATTAATATCAGAAGCCGATTTAAAATCTAAACAAAATGCAATCGGTCTTTCATTAATTGGAATTTTATTAGCTAATGAAATTTTACCTTATTATACACCACCTGCTCCAACAGGTAATCTTCCACCAGTTACAACTGGTTCAATTCTATCGAATTTACCAAATGATTTAACTGAAGATAAATTTAATGATACAATTTTAAAAAATATGAAAAATACTTTTAAAAATATATATGCTGCAGCAGCTGAAGTTATTGGAATGTTATTGAATGTTAACAGAATTCAAAATCATTCAACTCAACGTTTATTAGAACAATTAAATTTTATATTAAAATGGTATAATAGTCAAGGTTTACAAGATGCATATGTATCATGTATTTATTCAATACAAAAACATTATCCACAAATTGTAGAAAAATCGTAAGAAATAGAAAATTTTTCTATTATTTTTGAAAAAGACAAAATTTTTTGTTTTTTTTAGAGTAATGAATAAACTAATATTTGGTATGAGAAAAATGCATGGAGATTCCAAAATTGAATGTTTAGAAGCATTAATTGCAAATATTACAGAATTTGATTCGGCTTATTTAGAATTACGAGCAGCAGGAGTATTAGATATTCTTATTCATACGTAAGTAATGATAAATATTTATAGAAAGATGATAAAGTGGAGTCTATGAAAATTTTCTTGCGAATTTTGACCTTAATCCTTGGAGTACCAGCCGAGGTCATTTTTGACCCCCAACCTGAAAACTTTCAAAATACGTTGAGAATATTTTTTTTCCATATTTTGGAGGCAACTAGTATCATTTAAGAGTAGATTTATATAGTTTCATATAAAAGGTAACATATTAACATTCAATACTAATTCAACTCCTCGATACAAGATCGTGTTTTCAATATCCATCAAATATATAAGAGAAAGGAAAACACGTAAAAGTTTTCATATATATTGAGGGTGAATATGAGTGT